CCCCACTCACCAGCAGCACCTCGGCCCCGCCCAGCGCGGCGGCGGCGGCGGCGAAGGCGGAGCTCAGGAAGCCGCAGACCCCCACGGCCCCCCCGGCCTCGGGGCCCAGCGCCCCCGACAGCAGCGCCAGGGCCCCGCCCCCTGCCCGCCGTGATGTCAGAGGGCGGGGTCAGGGCTGGCCACACCCACAGATTGGGGTGAGGGTGGGGTCCCCCCTCCCATCCCCCCCAGCTCACCGGGGTCCAGCCCATTGGTGGCGACGGCGCTCAGGGACACCGCGGTCAGCAGCATCTGCGGGGACCCCTGACCTCTGACCTCTGACCCCTGACCTTTGACCTCTGACCCCTGACCTTTGACCTCTGACCTTTGACCCCTGACCTTTGACCTTTGACCCCTGACCTCCCCCCAACACAGTACCCAGAACATGACCCCTGACCCCAAAGTGTATCCCCAGCCATGTCCCCAGGTGTGACCCCAGGTGTGTCCCCAGGTGTGTCCCCATCCCCCAGCCGTGTCCCCAGCCATGTCCCCAGGTGTGACCCCAGGTGTGTCCCCATCACCCAGCCGTGTCCCCAGCCATGTCCCCAGGTGTGTCCCTGTGTCCCCAGGTTTATCCCTAGGTGTATCCCCAGCCACGTCCCCAGGTGTGACCCCAGGTGTGTCCCCGTGACCCCAGGTGTGACCCCAGCCGTGTCCCCAGGGTCACTCACGCAGGCCCCCAGCAGGACGCCGATGGCCGCTGTCCCCAGGACGCCGCCGTGTCCCACGACCCAGGGCAGGCGCAGCAGCAGCACCAGCCCCAGCAGCGACTGCAGCGACGGCGCCGCCACCCCCAGCAGCGTCCCCAGGGCACGGCGCTGCGGGGACAGTGGGGTCACCCGGGGGTCCCCAGGTGTGCCCAGGTGTGCCCAGGGTCCCCAGGTGTGCCCAGGTGTCCCCAGGGTCCCCAGGTGTCCCCAGGTATGCCCAGGTGTGCCCAGATGTGCCCAGGTGTCCCCAGGGTCCCCAGGTGTCCCCAGGTGCGCTCACCGGGGCGGAGCCGCTGTCGCTGTCGGGGCTCAGGGCGCTGTACGGGGCGATCCTGCGCAGCAGCGCCGGCACCCGCGGCCGCGTCGCCAGCTCCTCCTGCCGGACAGGGCGGGGCCGGGCGGGGTCAGGGGGCGGGGCTAAGGAGGGTGTGGCTCAGGGGCGGGGCCGGGTGGGGTCAGGGGTGGGACTCAGGGGGCGTGGTCTTGCCATAAATGACAGCAGACGCTTTGGGAGGGACGGGGCGGGGCCAGGAAGGGGTGTGGCTTCACACAGAACAGCACAGGGGCGTTAATGGGGTGGTGCTAATTAGGGGCGGGGTGGGCGTGGCCTCATCACAATGTCAGGGCACTAATGAGGTGTAGCTAATTGAGGGGTGGGGCTTTAGGGGGTGTGGCCTCACGATAGAGAACTGGGCTAATGAAGGGGTGGGACCAATTAGGGGCGGGGGCTGTGGGGGGCGTGGCCTCACCTCAAACAGCGCCAGCGGCCGCTCCCCCCCCAGCCCGGGCGGGGTGGGAGGGGCGGGGCGAGCCCTGGCCCCGCCCCCAGGGCCCCACTGGGTGGGCGTGGTCTCGGTGGGGGAGGGGCTGGAGTCGGACAGGGGGGGCCGGGAGCTGGAGGGGGAGGGGGGCTCGGGGCTGCTGTCTGAGGGCTCCGCCCCTCGTGCCGGCCACGCCCCCGGCACCGCCATGACGTCACCAGGACGGCGAGGATGTCACCGGTGCAGCGATGACGTCACCGATGACGTCACCATTGCGGCACCTGAGGGTTCAGAGGGAAAAGAGAAATTTTCCAAGGAAAACCCACATTTCTGAGGGCAGAGAAAACGAGTTTTGGGGGGAAATAAACCATTTTCAAGGGAAAATCCAAGTTTTTCGAGGGAAAATCCACATTGTTTGAGTGGGAAATGAGGGTTTTGGAGGGAAAATCGAAGTTTTTGGAGGACAAGAACCTTTCCAGAAGGAAATCAGCAGTTTTGGAGGGAAAACCCACATTTTGACAGGAAAAATCCACAATTTAAGAAAAAAAATTGTCGGTTTTGGAGGGAAAAAACCACTCTGGACAAAGCCCAGAATTTAGAGTCAATACCCACATTTTAGAGGAAAACCTAGAATTTTCAAGGGAAAGTCATGGGTGGAAATTTGCAGGGGGAAGATCCAGTTCTTTTGAGAGGAAAATCAACACTTTTAGAGGAAAAATCAAAACTATGAGAAGAAAAATCCCTGTTTTGGGGAAAACTGGAATTTTTGCATCGAAAAAATTCTGGCAGTAACGCAAAGCAGAGATTTTTGGCCATGCCAAAAAAGGTTTGGGGAGAAAAGCATAATTTCGGAGAGAACCTGATGAATTTTACAGAAATAGCGACCAGTTCAGCAGGAAAAAGGGACATTTTAGGGGAGATGTGGGAATTTTGGGTGGAAATCAAATCATTTTGGGGGAAAACGGTCATTTTTCCCTCGGAAAAGGGATTTTTGTGAGGGGAAAATCTAGTTTGGAGAAGGAAATATTCATTCCTTACAGGAATAAAAAGAGGTTTGGAGTGGAATCAGGAGTTTTCAGGGGAAAGGAGCAATTTGGAGACAAAATCGGCATTTTTGGGGAAACAGTTTGGGACAAAGTTGTGCTGCTTTGAGGGAAACATAAAAATACACGAAAACTTAAAAAACATATATCTGCATATAGGGGAAAAACCTAAAGAACAGATCTTTGTGAGGATACAGAAACTTAGAGAGGGAAAAATTCCAATTAGTGGCCAAAAAGTGAGGGGACTCGGGGTGGAAAAAGTCCCGTTTTGGAGGAGGACTGACTGGTTTGGGGCAGAAATCTTTATTTTGGGGGCCAAATCCATCATTTTGTGTTTTTTCGAGGGGAAATAAAGGCACTGGTGGGGCAGAAATTACAAATTCTGGAAGGAGACAATGAATTCTGGGGAAAATCCTCATCTGCATGGGAATAATGTGGAATTTGGGGAGGGAATGGGCAATTTGGGGGGGAAATGGCCTCACTGAAATCCCCATTTGGAGCCCCCCCTCCCCTTTTTGGGGGCCAAAATCCCCATTTTGGGGTCAAATCCCCTTTCTCGAGACAAAACTTCTCATTCGGGAACCAACCCCCGACTTTTTGATGCAAAACAGCCCGTTTTGGGGACCAAATTCCCCCTTTCAGAGGCCAAACCCCACCTTTTTGGGGTCCAAACTCCCCTTTTTAGGGCCAAATCCCCTCTTTTTGGGCCAAACACTCCCTTTTCCAGGGCCAACCCCTCACGTTTTGGAGCGACCCCACCCTTTGTGAGGGCCCAAATTCACTTTTCCAGGTGCCAACCCCACCCTTTTTGGGACCAAACTCCCCTTTTTTGGGGTCAAATCCCCCCCCTTTCCCGGATCCATCTCCCCTCCTCCCTCGGCCCCTCCATCCCGCCCCATTTTGGGTTAAAATCCCCCAATTTTGGAGCTCCCCCTTTCCCCCCCCCCGATCCCGCCGGTACCTGAGGGGGGGCGTGGGGGAGGGGCCGGCGCGCTGCCCTGGCCACGCCCCCTCGCGCGCGCTGCCGCAGGGGGCGGGGCGACGCAGGGGCGCGTCCGCTGAGGGGGCGTGGTCTGGGAGGGGCGGGGCCTCACGAGGGCGTGGGTGGGATCAGGAGTGTGGTTTGGGGAAGGGGCGTGGTTTTGAGACCCTGCCCCCCTTCCCCCGCCCCGCGGTGCCCCCCAAATCCGGAGGGGGAACCACCCAGATCCCCCCCGGATTTAAAGGAATAAGCAAAAACATTAGAAGGGAAAAGTTAATTTATGATTTTGGAATCATAGAATCATTCTGACTGGAAAAACACTCGTGCAATAAATCTTGGCCCAAGGTTTTCTGTCCCTTTTTTGTCCCGATTTTTACCGGAAATCCCCCAGTTTGCGGCGCCCTTAGCCCCATGGCGTCCCCCTGTTCCCATGGCGACGGGGCGGCCCATTCCACCTCTGCTCTCCCCTCCCTCCCTCCAGATTTGGTACGATCCAAGCAAATGAGCCCGCTCGCGCCACCAATCCCGCGTTCAAACCGCCGACCAATGGGAAGCCAGAAGGAGGGGTTAAAGTGAAGATTGACAGGAACCAGAGCCTATCGCAAAGCTTAGAGCTACAGAACCGCCACTGGAGCCGTCCGACCACTCAGCGGCGAGGAGGCGGGGTTAAGGCGAAGATTGACAGCGGTCCAAGCCAATCGCGAGGCGCAGCGCCCCGTCCCTCAGCGGCCGTCGTAGCCGCCGCTTTCCCGCCCTCCGGCCGCGGCCCCGGCCCGAGACCCCCGGGACCCCCTCAGACCCCCGGGATCCTCCCGGGACCCTCCGGCCCCACCATGGGCTTCCTGAAGCTCATCGAGATCGAGAACTTCAAGTCGTACAAGGGCCGGCAGATCATCGGGCCCTTCCGCCGCTTCACCGCCATCATCGGCCCCAATGGCTCCGGTGAGTTCCGGGGGGCTCTCGGGAGGGGTCAGGGCCGCTCCCGTGACGGTCTGGGGAGTGACCCCGAGTTCTTCACATTGTCCCGCTCCCGCTTCTTCATCCCGCCCTGCCCGGGGGATTCCCCGTTCCCTGGGGTCCCTCCTAAGCTTTGGGGTCCCCCCCTATTACCTACAGCCCCCCACACACACTGGGGTCCCCCCTCAGATCTTCCCTCACATTCCCTGGGCTCCCCCTCACCTTCCTACTCTTTCCTTGGGGTCCCCCTCAGTTTCCTGGGTTCCCCCCATTCCCTGGACTCCCCCCTCTTTCCCCGGGGTCCCCGCTCAATTCCCAGCGCTCTCTCCAAGCCCCCAATTCCCGGGGCTGTCCCAAAGCCCCTGACCCCCGCCGTGTCCCGGCTCCCAGGCAAGTCCAACCTGATGGACGCCATCAGCTTCGTGCTGGGGGAGAAGACGAGCAACCTGCGAGTGAAAACGCTGCGGGACCTGATCCACGGCGCTCCGGTGGGGAAACCCGCGGCCAGCCGGGCCTTTGTCAGCATGGTGTACTCGGAGGAGGGCGCCGAGGACCGAACCTTCGCCCGCGTCATCGTCGGTGCGCGGGGCCCGCGGGTCCGGGGGGATTTCCGCGGCTTCTGGGGCTGCTCTGGGGGAACGGGGGTGTTGTGTGGGGTTTGTGGGTCTGGAGGGGCGCGTTCGGGAGGGTTTTTGGGGGTTGGGTGGGTGCTTTTGATGCCCCAAAATCCCCCCCAAATCCACAGGCGCCGCTCCGGGGAGGGGGCCACGAGCGCAGCTTTACCTGCGTCAGTGTGGGTGCAGAGGGAGCGCGTTTTGGGGGTGACAGAGTTGTGGGGGGCAGGGTTTAGGGTTGGGAGGGCACATTTTGGGGGTGTTTAGGGTTTGGGGGAGCCCCCTGACCCCCCAAAACTCCCATCACAGGCAGCTCCTCAGAGTACAAGATCAACAACCGGGTGGTGCAGCTGAGCGAGTACAGCGAGGAGCTGGAGAAGTTGGGCATCCTCATCAAGGCCAGGAACTTCCTCGTCTTCCAGGTGAGGAGGGGGCCTGGGAGGGGCTCCGGGGGGGTTTGGGGAGGTTTGGAGGGGCCTCGCCGAAGCTCAGGGGGATTTGGGGGCAATGTGTGGTTTTTGGGGGGTGTTGTGCTCCCAGACATTCACTCACAGGAGCTCCTGGTGCTGTTTGGGATCGGCTGCTCTGGGAATTGCCCTTCTCCCTTAGGATCCCCCAGCCCCTGGCAGGAGTTGGGGATCACCTGGGGGGATTGTGGGGCCTCTCTGACTCTTGTTCTTCCATGAAATCCATCGGCACAAAGAGCCCAAAGGAGCACAGAGCGCTGTCTGAGGAGATCACCAGGAATTTAGGGATCGCTCACAGGGATTTAGGGATCTCTCTCAGGGATTCAGGGATCCCTCTCAGGGCTTTAGGAAGATTCCTGCCCCCGTTTCTGCAGGGAGCCGTGGAGTCCATCGCCATGAAGAACCCGAAGGAGCGCACGGCGCTGTTCGAGGAGATCAGCCGCTCCGGGGAGCTGGCCCCCGAGTACGACAAGCGCAAGAAGGAGATGGTGAAGGCCGAGGAGGACACGCAGTTCAACTACCACCGCAAGAAAAACATCGCTGCCGAGCGCAAGGAGGCCAAGCAGGAGAAGGAGGAGGTGGGAAGCGCTCAGAATCCTGGGAAAAGCAGGTTTTGGAAACTCTAAGAGTCCTGGGAAAAGAGGATTTGGGGAATGCTCGGAATCCCAAGAAAAGCAAGTTTTGGGAACGCTCGGGATCCCGGGAAACGCAGGTTTGGTGTCACACCAGTGTTGGCTGGGAATGGAGGGAATGGGGCAGGGAAAAGCAATTCCAGGTGGTCCCTGGGGAGCCTGGGGAGGAGGGAAGGGAATGAGGGAGATTTTCCTATGGAAAAAGGTTGGGAAGGAAGCAGAGCCGGGGGTCAGGGGGCTCCCGGGCAGAGCCGTGGCCGAGCCCCGGGCCCAGCGGCTCCCACGGCTCCCGGGGCTCCCGTCCCACGTCCCCATCCGTCCCCGTCCGTCCCCGCAGGCCGATCGGTACCAGCGCCTCAAGGACGAGGTGGTGCGGGCCCAGGTGCAGCTGCAGCTCTTCAAACTCTTCCACAACGAGGCCGAGATCGAGAAGCTCAACAAGGAGCTGGGGCTGAAGAACCGCGAGATCGACAAGGACAAGAAGAGGATGGACAGGGTGGAGGACGAGCTCAAGG